GTTCCAGAGTTGTTGTAGTGTAATACTCTTTGGGTCAGTCACAAGCTCTGGCACAGCCGTTCTTGAAAAAGAGCAGTTTCTGTCAGAATTCTCTCAGCCCCACCTCCCTCTCAGGGTGTCTGTTGTGGGAAGGGAAAGGGGTTTGTAAGCCACTCTGAGACTCCCTTGGGTAGTGAAGGGCGGGGTATAAATCCAATCTCTTCTTCTTCTTGTGTGGTGGGCTAGTTGTGGCAAATGGTAGGGAAGCTCAATATTTCTGTATACAGATGTAGGGGCTTTCTTGCAATTTGGTATGGCCTGATATTATGTTCTTATTCCAGTGTGGGGTATGTGTGGGGCTTTCTAAGTTTCTAAGCAGTGTGCTAAGAAGGCAACTGTTCCTGGGGTTAGCCCAGCCCAGGGACATTGCTAGGGCGGTTCCCAGGCCTCCCTAAATTTCTGGGGAGCCCATCCCTAAATCCCACATGGGTCCACCTCCATAGATAGTGACCATGCCTGTGATGTCACTAGCTCCTCCCTATGATGTCATTGGGTCCCAGTTCTTTTAATGACTTAGCAATGCCTCTGGCCCAACCCCAACCCCCCCCCCCGGGAAATTGGAAAGTCTACACCCTTGAATGTGAGTAACAAACATTTCTTTGTATCTCTACTACACAATTACATACAGTGGCTTCAGGAACCTGAAATGTAAACTATTGAAGAAAAATATACTCACAAAATGTCACTGAATGTTAAATTTATCCTGGTATTTGCTTCTGTCTGTATGTGCCAGACACAATAGGCAAATGGTGGGTGTGACCTGGGGTAGTTAGGACTGGTGAAGGACCCATCTGGGCTGTGAAGTCTGCCCCCACAGTTTTCAATTGAGGCTTTAAAAGAAAGTCATTAAAATAAAGCTAACATTCAGAAATAATAAAAGTAATAGGTTTCTTAGAATAATTCACCTGCTACTTCTACATTGTGGGTGTGGGTGTGGGTGTGGGCTGAGGGGTAACTGACAGCAGTTGAATCCTCCCATGTGACCGAAAGGTTTCTACAGTATCAAAGAAGCAACTTCTGTAATACTGAAATAACATAGAATCCTACCCCACAATGTGAACCTACCTGGTCTTCAAGTGGTGATGGGGAATTGTTTCCAGTCTAGACTTGCTTCCTAATCAGCTGCGTCAGGTTGGAACGATGTTGGACAAGATGGAACTACCAAATGTGAAAGTAGTCTAGAAAGGCCTGACACCATCTTGCACATAGTTTTCAGCAGCTATTGCTGTCACCTTTCATATCACAAAAGTCCATAAGCTGGGCATATGGTTGCAATGTGGAAAATTTCAAAATCAGAGCCTTCAGAAAGCCTCATGAGTAACTGGATGTTATCCTTAGTTTAGAATGCAGCACTTTAGAGGAGTTGACTTGGACTATTCCCTGCACTGATGTTTTTAAAACCACATGTTATGTGAAATTTTCCACACTAGATTTTTCTTCGCCAGGCACAAACCCAAAGTTTTCTCATTCTTACTCCGCATTTTTGGAACTTGCTAAAACTGGGGATTCCGGAAACACAGGGTAAGAAGTAGAAAACTTTGGTTTTGTTCCTGGTGAGGAAAAATCTACTGCAGAAAATTTCACTGTTGTGTCTGCGGATGGCCACCAGGGGTCTGTGTCCTCAGTCTCCAGCTTGGTTCCTAACACAATAGGGTCCAAGGATCCTAGGCCACCTTTAGTCCTCCAATAGGACCTTTGGCGGGAGATTCAAACCCTCCAATAGGACTGTGGGTGTGTCTGGGGTGGGTGTATATAGTTAGCCCTTGCCAGGCCGTTTGTGTCCTTTGTGTGTGTACTATAATAAACATGACTTGTGCAGCATGTCGTAGCTTGCCTCTCCATGCATAGAACCCAGTACTTTTCATTCACATAATACACAGTTTTTAAAACATCAATGTGGGGAGTTTCACTACTGTGGAAATGGTCTTGGTCAGCCTGTTTTGAAGATTCATTGAAAAGCTTTCAAACTTCTCTTCCAACAAGCACCACAAAATAGTTCCCCCCCCCCAAAAAAAAGAATACGTCAGAGATATTTGGCAATACAATTACCATTGCTAAACTTGCCTTCACATTTTATTTGCTCCTGTATCAGGTGCTCAGATAATACCACTTTATACAGCTGCAATTATATCTAAATACAGCAGAACTTTAAATAAAAGTTCTAAATTGTATAGGTTCTCATTAGTGCTCAAACGTAATTATCTTCTGTTTCCAGAACTGTCACGCAGGGGTCATTTGGGGGGGGACGCGGGGGGACGCCATCCCCCCGGGTGAGGTGCGGGAGGGCGGGGTCTGGAGCTCCCTGCTGGTGCCCGCTGGAGGTCGCCGCCGGCTGTGGGGAGGACACACTTCCGGTGATGTCAGTGGGTGTGGCATATGCTAATGAGTCCCCCTAGCTCTTTTTCTACGAAATGACCCCTGGTCACCAGTGAAGGAAGTTTGATAACAGCTTACCTGATTCAGATGAAATGAAATAATAAAATGCGAAGACAGTCCTTTTGAAAGCTGTGGAGTCAGTTGATAAGCGAAATGTTAAAGCATTTGAGGATGACTCAAATACAGGAACAGACTCATGATTATTGCATACTTGTCCAAGAATAGATGAGTTAGTTGAAGGACCATCATATATTACAATATTTTCTCTGTCACAGGTTGATAAGGGATTAAATCTAGGGGAAAATGACATCAGATTTGCTTTTATAGCACAGCATTCATCTTGCATTTATAATGTTATGGATTAGTTATTTAAATGATCAAAGACACAGATTGATATCCTAGAGGAATTCAGCCATCTAGTATTAACGTTACAGTTACTGAAAAGTAGAATTTACAGAGTTAGAAAAACCCCACCCTAAATCAGAACCTGAATTTCCACTAATAAGTTTTATTTTCTAGAATAGCAAAAAATCTTTCCCTTGGCATTTCTGTGAGGAAAACCTTATATATTTTCAATTGAAAGTCAGAGCAGAACTCCATTAAGTTTTAGACCAGAAGTTTGATCTGGAAGACTGCACTAGCATTGAACACTATTAAATCCAAAATCTATTTGAGCATATCAGTTTAGTCAAGTAGTTTTTTGGGGTTCAGGCTTTCTTGCTGTTCTTTTCTATATCTATCAGCCCTGTAGCCAGAAATCTTTTGTTGAGGGGCAAATTGGGGGTAGATCCATCCGCACAGTGGCTTGTGCTGGAGCACTCCAACGGCAGCCTGAACCACAGGGGGACGAGCTCAGGCTTCCATTGGAGGTGAGGGAGAGGGGCGACTGCTGTGCGGCCTCACTGGATCTTCCAGCTTCCGCAGCTGGCTTCTCAAAGCTGGCTGCAGAATGTTCGCAGATGTGCTGAATATTTGCTTTTATGTATTTATGTTTGCTGACACACACTCACTGCCATGGACTGTGACTATGATTCCCTACGGGTTTGGGAAAGCTGTGTGCTGTGAATACTGTGAAGAGATGCTCTGCCTGCACTTTATGCTAATGAGGTTTACACTCACACTGCCCCAGCCTGAGGAAGAAGAAAGCATCGCCATTGTGGGTCAGCACAAATGACAACTTTTATGGTTTCAACCACCATCCGTGAACTGTAAGGAGACAGGTAACCCTTGGTATCTGGTTTGCATCCAAAAAGACAGTCTCCTTCCAAATGGTCGTTTTATGGCTTGGGACCAGGCTACATCCATCTACACTTCAATGGTTGCCTTGGTATCATCTTCACACCTTGACCAGATGCATCCCCTGAGTTAAAGGTTTAGATTTCAATATTGCCCACTCCTCCTAGGTAGGCACGTCATTACTTAATAACCAATAGTGTTAGTTCTTGGGACGGACCATAGGTAGGAAGGACAAGGAGGATGGCATCAATGCCAGCCCCCAAGAGCCCCCCTATATAAAGTGAGGTTCAACAGTTTGAACCCCGCTAGCCATCTTCTCTCTTAAGCTATTTACTCACAGCTCTGCTGTACAAGTAACTCTTTGTTCTTACTGACCTCGTGGACTGCAGCCACAAAGGTCCACACGTGTTTGACAGGTTCCAACCATGTGCATATAGATTTCCTATAGGTATTCTAGTCTTATTCCTGTATTCTTCGTTGAGAAGGTCAAGCTTCGGATCAGATAAGTATTTGCTATTCCCCTTTCCCATCCTTTAGTATAAAAGTGACTATTTCCTACTCCTGTAACCCTGAGAAACTTGTACGATTGTGCGTGTGATTCCGTTTTTGTATGTATGTGAACCAAATACTATTACTTAGTAAAAAGAACAACTTGATTTCAAGGTACTAGTTTCGTCTCCGTTAATACCACTGGGAAATTCCTTGGGTCGGTTTTGGACTTCTGTATATACAGGCGAAAGGACCCCAAACATTTAGTCTGGCCTCTGCTGTAAATAAAGCAGTTCGGCTAACAAGAAGCAGAAAGACCCGATGAGGCTGCACCTCTCCCTCCCCTCCTGCTTGGCTGCACCTGGAACCAGGAAGACCCAGCAAGGTTGCATGGTGACCACGGCTGAGCAGGAGGGGAGGGAGAGATGTGGCCTCACCGGGTGTTCCTGCTTTCAAACTTTGAGAAGCCAGCTACGGAAGCAGGAACATCTAGTGAGGCCATGTGATGACCACAGCCAAGTAGGAGGGGGGGAGGCATGGTCTTGCTGCATTCCTGCTTCCACAGCTGGCTGCAGAAGCAGAAAAACCCAGTGAGGCCACACCTCTCCCTCGCCTCCTGCTTGGCAACAGCCAGAAGTAAGAAGACCCAGGTCATGCGGTGGCCACAGCTGAGTGGGAAGGGAGGGAGAGGTGTAGCCTCTGCATGGCTAGGCTTGCCAAGTCCCCCCGGGGGCGAGGAAACCCCCGCCCCAGAGGCCTGTTTCCCACCGTCAGCGGATCAGGCCCCAGGGGAACCCCACCCCCAAAGCACGCGATGTGCACAGAACTGACGCGACCACGCCGGGCATGCTGGGTGGTGGGGCCACGGTCATCCGAGGGAAAACTCTATGGTTTTCCCTCGGATGGTCGTGGCCCTGCCCCCAGTGTGCCCGGCGTGGTCACATCACTTCTGGGTGACGTGGTTGTGGTGCGCGCATGCGCTTTGCGCATGTGTACGCACTCCCAGAGGGACGCTGGAGTCCCCCGCTCCAGCGCAGCTTCAGACTTGGCAACCCTATGCATGGTCTTGCCAGGTCTTCCTGCTTCCACAGCCGACTTCTCAAACTTTGAGAAGCTGGCTGCAGAGGCAGGAAGTCAAGAGAGGCTGCTCCTCTCTCTCCCCTGAGAGGCTTGGGCATATTTGTGGGGGGCATCATCCTCATCAGCCCCTCCCCTATGGCTACTGGCCTGATGTGCTGGAAGAAGTAAAATCTAAAGGTTGGATATATGGACTCATAATGTTTTCTCAGCTGTAGGAGGAAGTCCTCTAGTAAGAGATTACTTTCTGCATTTGTAGAAGACTTTGAATGAAGACTACCAGAGAAAGATGTAACAGAAGAGGGTCTTTCCAATGCTAAGAGCAGGGATGAGCATGAAACAAATTATGAACCAAATTTTGTGATGAACTGGGCTGGTTTGTGTATTTGCCAACTGCCATGGTTTTGTGGCAGGTCATTTGGTTTGTAAAAGGGTAAGTGGGTCAGACATACTGGCACACAAGGCAACGGTTGGGAACCATTTAAACTTGCTCCACTACGCGAGTGTCCTCAGAAGGCTTTTAGATGCCTTTTGACAGCTCACTCATGTTGCACCATAGTGGTGCCATGACTCGCACAAGTCCTTTCCTTTCCCCATCTATTAGATGCAAGCCAGTTCAACGATGCCTTTGGCTCCCCGCATGGAAGCGGGGGCGCGCAAAAGGGTTTGCTGAACTGGCTTGCATCCCCCCCCCCCGGAAGCTGCATGCAGCTCACAAAC